ACATGTGTAGTAACTGTTAAATGAGAAACTATTTTGTTCTGTAAGCCTTCATCTTAAGTGAGAATAGCAGCACAATTGGAAGAGCGTAGTCACTGTCACTGAACTGCGCATGTAGACATTTTTGAAATGGTGTATCTTTGGCTATGTGTATTTTTACCAAAAAATAAAAAAGGTTGAGAAGTCAGAGGGTTGACATGTTGTGGGGTTGTTAACCAATGTCATAAAACAATATGTGTACTACTGCTTCATGAGAAACTATTTGTTCTGTAAGCCTTTACCTGAAGTACAATAAAAATAAAAAAATTTAAAAAACCAAATAATAGTTTAGCTTAACCAGTAAAGAATGTCTGCCTTGAGCATTGTGCCCTTTTAAGATCTATCTACTAGAGATCAAACTGACAACAGCAACTGGAAAGATGAGACAGGACACTGAGGGGGCAATGAGTTTATGTTAATGGAGGAGCAACAATTTGGAAAAGGAGGGTGAGAATGGCTGCACATCTTGAAGAATGTAATCAACTGTCAGCAAACTGTACACGTAGAAATTGCTGAATTAGTGTATGTTCTGCTGTGTATATTCCCAACAGCAACAAAAATAAAATAAATTTTTTAAAAAAACACTAAGGAATAACACTAGCAAAACAAAAGTTGGTTAGAATTAAAATTTCCACTTTTCTTAAACAATGAGTATAAAGTATTGTTTTAGAAAATGAAAACAGTGAAGTGTTTCAAAAGAAGAGGTCAAAACAACCACAAAACTACATGTTTTAAACTAAGTGGGAAACAAAAAACAACCTGTTAAAGGTTACGACACATTAGCAATAATGATCCAAGTAACCAAGGCCCAAGATCTCAGTTCCTTAGAATAACAATCCTGTATATTCCCAGAAGATTGATATTAAGATCCCATGTTCAAATTGTACAATAGAGTATTTAAAGTAAAATCACATAGCCTCAAACATTCTTATTTGAAAACAACAATGAAAATAATTGAACTAAGCGCTCAAGAAAAATAACAAATAAAAGGAAAAGAAATATGAGACAAGTAGCAGAAATTCTAAAAATCAGAAATCAAACCAAAAGAGTATTTGGATACATAAAACTTGAACTGATTCTGTGAAAGGGCTAAATTTTTGACAAGTCCGAGCAAGAAAGTCAAGACAAATACCAACAGTATTAGGACAGAGAAAGGAGATAGAGCCAGTAATAGGTATTTTAAAACGTACACAAGAATACCACGTAAACACACTGAAAAGAGAAAGAAAACCTGAATAGTTCAAAGGCCAAAAACTTTGGAAGCATACAGTTACCTCTGAGGGATACAAATGCGGGTGGTGGGGAAGGATGACTCACAGTTTTCACACAACGTATTCTGAACTGTTTGAATATTTTAATAAGAACTTCTATATAAAATAACAACATATATGTGTGTATGTGTATATGTATGTGTGTATAAATACACAAAGTTCTTGGGTGCCACAAATGGTTTGCACTCAACTACTAGCCTAAAGGTTGGTGGTTTGAACCCACCCAGCAGCGCTGTGGAAGGCAGGCCTCGAGATCTGTTCCCGTAAAGATTACAGCCAACAAAACCCTACGCAGCAGGTGTACTCCGCAACACATGGGGTCGCCATGAGTCAGAACAGAATGTATACACAGGTGCACACACATTTGAAAGGTTGGAGAATGATAACTATAAACTTACACTTTCTGCATAACAAAGTAATTCGAAAAGCTTCTTGCTGGAAGGAGGTGACTGACTGCTACGCTGTACAGAAGACTTTTCAGAAGTTGATGGATTCTTCAACTTGACGCTGAAGAAACGCGATCTGAAGGGAACTGCAGCCTCCGTGCCCAGGCTTGGAGTACAGGCGGCATCCTGCAGTGAAGCTACACTTCCCTTCTGGCGGAATTCTACGACGGCGTGGAGACCCTACGCCAGGAACAGGAGGAGAAAGCAGAACACATTTCATGTCACATCGGAGACAGCGTTTTAGTTCCTATCTCAGAACAATTACCATAATTCTAAAAAAAATATTAAGTAGATTCAGAAAAAAACACTATAAAGAGATATTAGTCAAGAGAAGCTGAAAAGAACGCTGAAGCAGAGAATTACGATAAAAGGCAAAACGAAAATCCCCTTTGTCTCTAAGACAATGGGACTCTCCAAAGTAGTCAGTTAGAAATTACTTACAATTCTGTAGTACTGCTATGAGGATTTCTATTCTCATGTCAAAAAAAACTCACTAAAGAAATTTACCTAAGTAAAGATGTAGGATATCCAAAGAAAGTCTAACCTTTCCACATTGCAAAGAGGCAACAGAACAAAAGTGACTAATAGGGACCTTTATCCTTCAAAAGCATGAATGTTAAGTTAGATTGTTTTTCAAATACTTACAAAGCTTTCATAGAAGAAATGATTATTAATAGGGCCATGTTGGGATAGATATTTGAGAAACTTTTTCTCACTGATTTTATTTGGGCAACTTATTAAAACAGTCCGTTGTGCCTCTTCTCGTCTTTCTTTCTGCACCTCAGAGAATCTCTTTTGGAGAACGCTGTCTTCAGAGCCTGTCAATGAAAGAAACACTGCCATCACACACGTAGGAAACGTACAGCATGTTCTGACAGCGCACATGAAGATTTCATGTATGACCGAAACCAACTCCACCCTAACGTTATCTTCCTTCTTTTCTTCTTCTATAAGGGTTAAGCTCTACAGTTTTTGTTACCATTCTCCTGCGACTATCACCACAAACGTCCACTTTTTTGTTCTGATTTACTGCACACTACACATAGTACTAAAAACAGAGACCGCCACCAAACTTCTAAAAGTAAAACCAGAAAACAAAAATACTCATTTAACACTTCCACAAACACGCACGCAAAACCTGTGCAAACTGTAATATTCCAAAGGCTTAAAGAAATTATTGCAAACCTAAGTGTAATTAGACAATGAGTTTAGAAGTTTAAAGTATTAGAGTAAGTTATAGGAGTTTCTCTTTGTAAAAGGCCTTGATCTGGCTCAATTAACGGGTTACCAATTATAATGTGTGCTATACTAAAGGGAAATCAAAGAACTGAAAACCTAGTCGCTGCCCATAAAGAGGTCATGATAACTTTACTAAGAAAATAGACGGTAATTTTATTTTCCTTTAGCCACTCCAGGGGTTAGAGTTTTACAATCACAGGGAATGATAAAAAGTGCTATGACAGTCAAGAGTTAAACTTTAACAATCCACAGCCACACAGGAGATAAAGCCTGCTGCCATCGAATCGATTCCAGCTCATAGCAACCCTATAGGTCGGAGTAAAACTACCCCATAGGGTTTCCAAGGTGGTGGATTTGAACTGCCGACCTTCTGGTTAGCAGCTGAGCTCTTAACCACTGTGCCACCAGGGCTCCACAAAGGAAATAGTTAACTAAATATAAGGTGAAAAATAAAATCATTCAAGCTCTAAGAGCATAATTAAAGCCAAACATTGACTTTTAGCAACTAATTCTTCCCCCAAGATACTTAGCTTCTAGCTAGGTAGGTTAAAGAGCTCAGTCCAAATTTTAAAATTCTAAAATGGAAGATTTTAGAAATCATAAACTAGCAAGTCTGACAGTCATACCCTCAGCAAAATTCCAAAGAGATTAAATCGAATAGAAAATGTTTACAGAAATCAGCAGAGGCTTTCAGCCTTGTTTTCTTTCAAAAGGTTATAAAACTGATGGAACCAGGAAATACTCCAAATACAGTGTATCTTGATTTCTGCGAACTCCTAGACATCCTCAGGAACAAAAGAAGAGAGATGGGGGTGGTAACAGCAGGAGCTGGCTGAACTAAAGTCTGCCCTGCAGTATCAACCTAGAGGCGAGTCTCTGAGTCTCTAACGGAGTGCCAGAGCACTCTGGCTCTGACCTAGGCAACATTTTTAACAACTGATCAAACACGTATGGAGCATATTTTCTAGGCTGGCTATTCTAGATACCGAAACTACCTCTCTTAAATGTGTGCTGTCTTCTCCATCCCTGACGCCAATCCTTTACCTTCAGACTCTTGTTTTAGGACTACCATCACTGAAACAGTCCAGCTCCGCAACCGGTCTCATTCACTCCAGTCTTGTCTTTCTCAAGCCATTCTCTACACTGCTTGCCAAAGGGATACTTAGAAAATTGTCTTTTTAAAAAACAAAAAGGTCATATTCTTTGACTTCCCTGTTGACAACCCTTCAACAGCTTCCCCACTGCCTTCAAGATCACGTCTAAACTCCATAGCATGGGTATAACTTTGGTCATCTGGTCCTACCTCCCCCTTCAGTGTCAAAATTCCACCATTTCCTTCTCCTGCACGTTTCACTCACATACTTTACACATGAAACTACCACACACCTGTGAACTTTCTACGCCTTCCGCCCTCTGGCTGGAAGCTCACTTTCCACTTTCTTTCCTGTCAATCCTCCAAATCTTGCTCAGGTCTGTGAAGACTTCCGACTTTCTAAGAATGAATTAGTCTCTCTCACCTCTGTATTGCCCTACTTCTAACAGCTCTGCAAGGATCAATTCATTGTGTTGTCTGTATTTAACATACCCTACTTCCGTACTGAGGACAGGAGCTATTCTCATTCACTCTGCTCTCCGTCTACGGACAGACCTCCTTCCAGTCGGTCCCTGTTCCCTTCTCCTCTGCTACAGGTTCAGCCTGGACCACCTCACCCACTTTTACAATTGTAACTGTCGTCCTCAGCTGTCATCTTAGGCCCCCAACTCAAGGAGACAGTTGTAATTACCACCTACGTATTCTTGACTGATGTTTGACTCTGAGTCTAGCCTGATATCTAACTGCTTATTGTAAAACTAAAGTCAAACAGTATAAAATTTTATAAGGTAAAAGTATAAATCCCCCACCCAGGCCTCTTCTCCTAATAACAGCCAACCACTAAGTTTGGTGCTTACCTTTCCGGATATTTTCAGGGCACATATAAACATGTATGCATCTCTCCATACATAAACATCTTTTATACAAATGAAATGATTAAAATCATACTATATATTCTAGCCTGCAACATGTTTTTTAAAAATTTTTATATATTAGAGACATCTTTCCATGTGAGTCGATACTTACCTCCTTTCTTTTAACAACTGTGTAAGTATTCTTGTTTATGCGTTTAGTATAGTTTACTGAGCCAATCCCCAACTGGTATCTATTTAGGTGGCTGAGTTTTCCACTACTACAAACAACACTGCAATGTCATCTATATACAATATTTTTGCACACTTATGCAAGTACATACCTGCAGCTGAACTGTTAGAGAAGAGACTGAGTTCTACATTGAGATAGAAAAATTGATAAAAAATGAAGCAACATGTTTGAGAAGATGGGAGAAGTAATAAAGCATTGACAGGTCTGGTTGAGCAGCAGCAGGAGTTAAGGATGATGTAGACATGACATCAGTTTGAACACTATATCGTCTTGTCCAAAGGGTAGGCATGTGATCAAAAGTGCTTCTCTGGAATTTTTTAAATTCAGGTAAAGAATTATACTCTTCACCTCCTTGGAGAAACCTGTAAGCACGTGCACATAAATCTGCGAGTGGCCACGTTCTCCCCCACCCCAACCACACCCACCTCCAGGGTAGAGAGAAACCTGAGACAATGAGGCTGTCAAACAGCAGCCGAGGAAAGCAACAATTCTTCGTCCTAGGCACAGCAATCTGGCTGACCCTAAGGCAGAACGATTGTCTTTCTGGGGTTTGGTTACATGGCGCCATACAAACCCCCTTTCCACTTAAGCTAATTTGAATTTGAGTTCAGGTTCTGTCATCTGCATCTTACAGAGTCCTGAATAATACACGATATGCTCTTATTCTTAAATCAGAGCTCTTTTTCTACTACAGCAAACTAAAGAACTCTCATACGAAAGCTATGGGAAAACTGAGACCAACAGATGAAACAGGATTTTACCTCGTTATAAACATTTCCCAGCAATCAGAGCCCGACCGAAAATAGGACAGGCTAATTTATGAGATAGTATGCTCCTTGTTACTCGAAATTATTACTGGGAATGTTCTGACAATGAGTTCTCACACTGAGTGAAAATCTCCATTGGATATTTTTCAAGTTCCTTCCAATTATAGAATTATAATTGTGTATAAGGTGTAATTACCCTTATACCTGTTATTTTTGTTACTTGTTATGCCCCACAGTCAAACGCATTTCCTCCAAAAACAATACAAAACAAGAACTATAGTAAGCGGGAAGGGTATTGCCTTAGAATCAGAAGACCTGGGTTTTATTCTTATCTTTGCCACTGAAGAGCTGGGTGAGCTTGGACTAGCCTGTTCCTCGTTTGTAAAGGGGAGTAATAATAATTCTTTCCAGAAAAAAATGAGAAGATGCAAATAACCGAAATAAGAAATGAGATGGGTGAAATTACAATAGAGGTAGATAATGTGAACAGATATAACAAAAGAAGAAATTGAAGATTAAAAAAAAAAAAAAAAACTCACAACAACAAAAAAAGCCAGAGCCCAGATGGCTTCACTGGACCTTTCTACCAAACATTCAGAAAAGAGTTGACACCAATTCTACTCAAACTATTCCAGCATATAAAAAAGGAAGGAATACACCCTAATTCATTCTATAAGCCAGCGTAATTCTGATAACAAAACCAGGCAAAGGCACCACTAAAAAAGAAAATTACAGAGAAGCCCTGCTAGCGCAGTGGTTAAAGCACTTGGCTCCTAACCAAAAGGTTGGCAGTTCGAACCCACCAGCCACTCTGAGGGAGAAAGATGTGGCAGTCTGCTTCCGTAAGGATTTACAACCTTGGAAACCCTAAGGGGTAGTTCTACTCTGTCCTTACAGGGTCACTGAGACAGAATCAACTTGATGGTGATGGCTTTGTTGGCTTATCCCTCATGAATACAGGCACAAAAATTCTTGACAAAATTCTGGCCAACAGCATTCAATAGCATATCAAAAAAAAATAACACATCATGATCAAGTGTCATTTATACCAGGGAAGCGAGGACGGTTCAACATTAGAAAATCATTCAATGTGATTCACCACATAAATAAAACAAAGGAAAAGAATCACATGATCATCTCAATCAATGCAGAAAAGGCATTCGACAAAGTCCAACACCCACTCCTGATAAAAACTCTCAGCAAAACAGGAAAAGAAGGGAAATTACTCAACATAATTAAGTGCATATATGCAAGACAAACGGCCAACATTATTCTCAATGGAGAATGATTGAGAGCATTCCCCTTGAGAACGGGAATAAGACAAGGATGCCCTTTATCACCACTCTTATTCAATATTTTACTGGACGTCCTGGCTAGAGCAATAAGGCAAGAAGGCAAAATAAAAGGTATCCAAACTGGAAAGGAAGCAGTAAAACTATCCTTATTTGTAGATGACACGATTTCATACACAGAAAATCCCAGAGACTCCACAAGAAAGTTACTGGAACAGAAGGATTCAGTAATGTGGCAGGCTATAAGACTGACACACAAAAATTAGTTGGGTTCCCAACAGCTGCAAAGTACACATTCTTTTCCAACACACATGGAATGTTCT